TGATAAAGAGTTGAAGGCATCTAAGCTTGTTATCGTCCAGAACCCTAGAGTCAGAGACCAATCTAAGGCAGAAAAAGCAGCAAAGGCAGCAACATCTGAGGCTGCAACATCTTATCAGAAAGGAAAAGGTCTTGCAAAGACAAGGAAGAAAGGGAAGAAAGGAAGACCCCCAACTGAAGCTCCAACAGAATTGAATGCTTCACAGTTGCCTAGCTAACCAATAAACCTGTCTCAAGCTCACTCTGAGTCTCTAAGTTTCTAGTTAGTGGCAGCAATTTATGTACTTAACTTTGGTTTTTGGTACTTTAGCTTGGTTTTTGGAACTTTAGCTTGGTTTTTGGAACTTTAGTTTGCTTTTTGGTAATTAAGATTGGTTTTGGATACTTAAGTGTTTTTGCATTGTTGGCAAACATCTTCAAAAACCTCTGTATATGAAATTAGCCAACTGTGGCCTTTTTCAAAGTTGTGTTGTGAGTTCATCATGTTATGTTAGATTAATTACTTACTGAACACAGTATATAAAACACAAAGTATGCCATTTATTTTTCAACTGTCATTCATTAATCCAGAAATACAACCTTTAATTGCTTATAATCTATCAATTACATGACATGACTAAAAGGCAAATCACACCATTTTCATTTGAGAGCAACAAATAGTAAAATCAGGTACATGACAAGAGCAATCCTAACAACCATGTATATGTAGGCTGCAAATTCATATGCTCTATTTGTAAATACAGTAAATTCCTCAAAAAGCACTTTCAGATTAGCAGACTCATCAAGATTTGTTTCCCTTATTGTGTTTCCCATAATTTGATCTTCAGAAACCCACATGAACAAACCACAGTGCCTGCACTTGTAATATGTTCTCCCTAGGTTCGAAATGGAGTCAAAAACCCTAATATCAGCATGTCTTGGTGGATGGCAGTTACATTGGATGCGTCTGACCCACATGGACCTTCCATATCTGCTGCCAGAAGAAGAACCAATACCTGAAGAACCAGCCATGTCAAAGACATGGAGAAGAGAAGAAATGTAGCAATGGAGGATAAATGAAATGGAGAAGAGAAGAGGAAGTGGCGCATTTATAGGGAGGGAATAAGGTGAATGTTTTTGGTGGGAAATAACAGAAATTTTGAGAGGGAAAAGTTGGAGGGAAAGGGATTAAATGGGGGCATATTAGTCTTTTTCTTATTTTTAAACCTAAGCTGCTAGTAAACTAGGTTATTAACGTTTAATAACAGAGTAGTCACGACTGTTAAGAAGTCAAAAATTGGGATGTATCAGCAAGAAGTCAAAAAAAATGTGGTAGTGCTGGGAAAAGTCAAAACCTAAAGTGTACCAATGAGAATTTCCCAAAAAAATAATCCAATCTTGTTAAAAAAAAAAGAAAAAAAAAATAAGAGTAATAATAATCCAATCTTATCTATAAAAAAAATATATAATATTTTTTTTAGGGTTTCCCTTATCTCGAATTAATTACCATATCAAACTTGTCGAATATTTCAATGCACTCGTTTAACCTTATATTCTCTACTTTTGTAAGTAAAAAATTTGATATGTTAATTATTTTCCTAATGTTTCAAGATGATTTTTTTTTTAAAGAAAAAAGAAATTATTAGGAGAACCATAATTAATATTTTGTATGTTATGATTTAAATATGTTCAACAACTATTTACTATTTAATAGAAAAGGAAAAATACACTTTAATAATCACAACTATGAGCGATTTACCTCTAATTATCCCAACTAAGGTTTAATATCTAACAATCCCAACTATGAGGTCAGTTTTCCTCTAGTAGTCCCAACCGGTCAACACCAAGTCAACGACCTATTATAACAGGTGATTATGACACGTGTCAACACATAATTGGTGAAAAATAAACAAAAATATTAAAAACAATAAATAAAAAAACGTTATCAACCACCACCTCCCCTTCCCCACCATGAAACCCTAGGACCGACCCACAACCCACCAAAAAACGGTCGGCTACCTTCCCTAACCCCCGAAAATGACCGGTCGACCCTTCCTAACCCCCGAAACCACCCTAATCGGCCCACTCCCATACCCCAAACCACCCTCTCCTTCGAAATCAACCTCCTCAACTGTCAGAATCGCCCTTCCTCCCTTCCTCAACCCTCGAATTCGACCCCCTAGGCAGTTTCAAGGGTGTGGGAAAGGAGGGGAGCGACACTTCAATTTTTTTTCCTTTCCTTTTTAATTTTCTGGTGAAGGGGGAGGGGAGTGTTTTACGGGGATGGGGGTGGACCGGCTAGGTTGTTTTGGGAGTAAGGAGGGTCGGCCAACCATCTGTAGGGGGTTAGGGGAGGTCGCCAGCTAACTCTTGTTGGCCTGGGGTTGGGCCCTATGGTATCACGATGGGGGAAGGGGGAGGGGGTGGCAGGAAATGGGTTTTGGGGGTTTTTTTTTTATTTTGGAGCAATTACATGCTGATACATGGATGTTTAAAAAAAATTACCCTTTCAGCAAGTTATCGGTCATTGGGACTATTAGAGGCAAACTAACCCCATAGTTGGGATTATTAAAAGCGAATCACCCATAATTGGGATTTATTAAAGTGTATTTTTCCAAAATAAAATTATTATCTTAATCAAATAGAAAAACAATATAATTTTATAAATATGAAATTAAAGCTGTTAATTTTCTTAGGATCATTATATAATGGGAAAAAATAGTATAAATAAGCACTAATCATCTCATCTAAATTACCTATATTGTTATTGGATAAAGAAGCATAATAAATGAATAGTTAAGGTGGTAAGACTTGTTACATATTACTTATTGTCTTGAGTTCAATTCTTTGTATAAAGACACATGCACATATTTTGTATTAAGAACATTTTTTTAGTATATAAACGTTTTTTAATACATAAATTATTGATATACATGTTATATATTGTTAAAGTATTTATGCATTCAGTAACTAAGAAATTTAAGTATATGAAGTGTTTCATTTCCATCATAATAAAAGGACGTCGAAATAGTTAGTACACATAACAAAAACATATTATAATTTATAACTTAAATATGAAATATATCAAAAATATTTTTTTCATCTTCTAAACATAAATTAAATCTTAAATTAATATGCCATTTCATATTTCATAATCTCTATGTATATATACTTAACTAACTTCATCTTCTTCCACAATCCACCTCCCTCTTTTATCTTGACATGAACATCCGTCACAATGGTCATGATAACAATAATACAAAGATTAATAATTAATATTTTATAACAAAAGTTTCAACTACGAAACTAAGAGTATTTAGGATTTGAGGTTTGATGACTTTTTAATCGAAAGTTGGAAAATTATACAAATATGTATGTTCAAACATAACATAAAGATTATTTGAGGACAAAAAGAGTATATAAGCGGTCAAAACTAATAGGCGAATGATCTGAGTACGCAGGTACTAGAGATGTTCAAAAAACCCGTCCCAGTTAACCTGACCCGATGACTCGACAACCCGCAAGATACCTATCAAGAGTATACCATTACTCCCTTCTAAAAGTTTGTCTAAATTAAGAGTTGGAAAATTTGACAAAAATAATACAACCTTTGGTCCATTCTTTTTTAACTGTATAACCTTTTGATTATTTTTAATATTACAATATTTAGGAGGCGTTAATTTTAAACAACACATTACCAGTTAGTATCCTGTTTTTGCAGATTATCGTAACACGTGTCATTGTTTTATTGGTTTTGTCAATTTAATTAATTAATTAATTAATTATTATTATTATCATTATTAAAAAATATATATATACACAATCACCCAACTACCTCCTCTCCCCCTCCCCCACACACGTACGCAACCCCCCGAGACGGTACGGCCGGCGTTTAACTTCCCCAACGTCGGCCGCCCACTTTCCACCTCACCTTGACCTCCCCCTTCCCCGTCACGCCATCCAGCCATGCCAAACCCTAACCCCTTTCCTTCCCAACCACCACAATAATCACCTAATCCAAGCAGCCACCACGAAACCCATCCAAACACCACGAAACACAACCCTTCCCTTTCCCAGACCCCGATAACCACCACCCTCCCCTTCCCTTGCCCGAAAGCACCCCCATCTCCTTCCCCTACATCGAAAAAGCGTCCCTAACAAACCCCTGCATCGTCGTGGTGTTTGTGTCGCGGTGGGGATCGCATGTTGGCTGGTTCAGGGGGTTGGGGAGGGTATGGTCGCCGGGGAAGGGCGACTGCCATGGGGTTGTTGGGGTTAAGAGGGGGTTGTTTTTTTTTCCCCTTTTTTTAATCTAAAATTAATCATTTTAAAAAAATCAAATTTAATATTTAGACTAATTACCTGACGACACGTGTTATGGTTAACTGGTTTAAAAGGTTTCAGGTTTTTTGTCTTGTTTAAAATTGAAATCCCCTAAAGATTGTAATATTCAATAAATAATCAAAAAGTTGTATTATTAAAAAAAAATGGGCCAAACGTTGTATTATTTTTGGCAATTTTTCCACGAGAGATTTATGACATCAAGAAATGAAGAATAACCAATTAATACCCTTCTTCCCTATCTCTCCTTTCCCATCCATTAATACTACCACACTTTTCCTCGTCCCTTTCTTAGGTGTTTTCCCACCTTTTTTCCTTCCCTTCTCCGATGATCTCTCCATTGTGCCCTCCTGTTAGTCTGTCACCCTCGTCCTCTACATCTATCTCCCATTACCCTTATCCCAACATCGCAGCTGGTGGAGGTTAATCCGAGTCATTGTTATGAAATCATTAGTGTTTAAGATGGATTAAGGAGGAAAAACTAGAATAGATGGTGTTGATGAGGTGTCAAATGACTGGCTAATAAGTTCGTTTGAATTATTTTCAGAAATAATCACCAAAAATTGAGATTTTTCCCTTACAACAAATCAAAGCTTGAGATGATTTGATAAACGAGATAAATCTTGAAATTTATCATATCAAATATCAACGAATAAATAAAACTATAATACTACTACTACATTACGTGCAGCTTTAACATAAATTAAATTCCACAATTAAAGCAAACTTTGTACATGTTTTCTTAACACACAAAAAACTATTATTGGCACAAGCAAATTGAGGTTCATTAAAACTCTTCGATTTCAATTTAGCTCTATATGTTAATAGAATATCAACTACAACAGAGATTAAAAAACTACAAAATCAATGACCGCTGGTTACATTGACTGCAAAATCAACAACAATTTCCTGTTTGTGAATCTGCATAATCAACCCTAACACCACAGCAAAGTTTTTTCAATAGATGTGCATGTCAAAGGGGGAAAATTTTCGAAAAGGAGACACTGTAGACAGCACTGATTCATGATGATTGGTGGAGCTCCGAGTATAAGTTCTGAAATGAGATAAAAAATAAAAAAAAAAAAAATAAATAAAAGGATGTCCATTAGTACTAGCAAGATTCCAAGGGTAAAAACCAACAACAATAAGAAAGGTCAATATATACTTGGAGAACTAAGTTTCACTAGAAATTTCCATTTCTATTCCAAACCAACAAATAGTGGGTCTTAGAAACAATGTCAGACAAAAGTCTATTAAATAGGTTAAAGTTATAGTCAAAACCCATTGTAAAGAAAGTTCTTTATAAGGTATAAGTATAAGAGTCAAAATCATATATGCCAACATCACAAAATAGACACAAAACCATCTTAAAAAAGAAAATACCTAAGTAACTAATATGATAGCTAATATGTAGAAAATATGGGCAAATAAATGTCTGAAGCCTCATGGTGTTTACAAAGCTCACATAATGGCAGAGAAATAGAATAAATACAGCATAAGATAGCACTGACACAACATTTATCTTATCAAATCTACAATCAACAAATATAGCCAAAGTTTGTAAAAAGTGGATTAAGTTAAAAATGACGACCCATAGAAAACACTTCCAGCTTAGAAAAAAGTCTTATGTAAGGAAATAGGCAGCAAAAAGGTATATAACAAAGAGCAGCATAAAAGAAAAACTCTCAAAATCAGTTCAAAAAAATAGAACATCCCCTTGACACAGAACAGATCAAGGCATAATTCATGAGCAAAGAATATAAGAGGCAGGATAATAAAACAGGCATAAATCCAATTTCAGAGTACAATATGCTAATGGTAAGCTTATTAAACAAAAATAATCAAAAAGAAAATGCCACAAGCAGATATATGAAGAAACATATATCAAAGAAAAAGCATGAACCAACAAAAGGACATAGATAGAAGATGATAGCTAAATTCCCTGGCGTCATGAGATGATAAGAACATCAGCAGTAAGGAGCGCTGCCCAATTCTCCCAAGAGTGACGTGAAATTGCTTTCCCCAAATTCCGCTGCGTCTGGAGTAGCCAATGAAAATGGAAAACCCTAATCCGAGAAAGTCGGTAACTATAAGAGGGAAAAAATTCCCCATAGTTCACAGAAAGCGAAAACCTTAATTTTACACAACAAAGTCAAAAATTGGGGGGAACCCAGAATTCGAAAGGACTCCGAAGAAAAGAGACAATCAGGGAAAAAAAAGTCTCGAATCAATAGGAGTTAATCCAGGAAAAAAGGAGGGAGAAGGAAGGGTACTGTGATAGGGGTCAACAAGTACCTCAACAGGTGAGGGAAACGCTTTAATAAACAGATCCAGATCCATATTTTGGGATTTATGACTAAGAGCCATACCCCCAGATTTATGCAGAGTACTTGTACCTGAAAAATTCGAGAAGAAATACTAGCTGCTTTAGCAGCTTTGAGAAAAGTAACAACACCGGGACTTTCATACAGATATAGCATGAAGCCATGCAGGAAGATTAACTGGAAGAAGAAATGGTCAATTGATGGAAGCCATAGAAGATTTTCTATGTCAGAGGTATGAGATCTGGTGTGGAAGGGGTCTAAATGTCTAATGGATCTGGAGGTCATAGTTTCTAGAGAGAATTCTCTCATCTATGTCTCTCTCCGGGGAAGGGGCACTCGCCATTACCTTACACAGCCATATTCCAGCTAGGGGATGGCAAGAAACAGCAAGCCACCTTGTCACATAAAAGACCTACCGACAGCAGAAGTAGCAAGACATTGAAGCCTATAATACTGAACATAAAAATAAAAAACTACTTCCTCTGTTTTTTTTTAGTTGACACCATTTGACTTTTACACTATTCACAAACTACACTTTGACTAGATTTTGTGATTTATAGCTACGATAAAATATAGTCAAGTGGGATCTTGTTTGAATCGTCTCAATGTATATTTTATTAACATCCACTTTTTATAATTTAAAATGTCGAGAATTAGAGATATTAATCGTTAAAATAGTGCGTTGGCAAGCGTGATAATAGAATGGTGTCAACTAAATAAAAACGGAGGTAGTATAAAGGATGAGAAGGTGGACCTAGGGAGATGGCATGTGTCTCGAGTAGGGAAACAAGGAAATGAATAACAAACATAAAATTAAGGCTCATTTTAGTTTAGCAGATAACAATTGTAAGGGAAAAACACATAGTAACTTAGTTTCTCTATGTTTGGTTTCTAACCAGAAAAGATAGGGGAAAAAATACTAGAAAAAAAATAGAGGGGGATATGGATAGGAGAAAAGACCAAGAGAAGAAGCATGCAAAGAATAGCAGATGCAAAAAGAAATTTTTTTCCACAATTGGGAGAACTATGATACACCCGTCAAAAACCAAAAAGAGAGGGGGGGGGGTGTGTGGGCAATCACTTTACTGCAAAATGTTATCCTCATTCCCTCATTGGAGGATAAAAAGATACTACCTCCATGTCCAAGAGATGTATCCATTTTCCATTACAAAAAATTTCTACTTGATGTACCAAATTCTAATTTATTCTATTTTGAGTATGCAAAATGCAAATTGTACCCTGTTGCCCCACAGTATTGACAACTTTCTACTCAATCTAACTACATCTATACCTTATTTTCAATCGTCCATGACATGCAGTTCACAAAATGTTTTCTCTCAAAACTCACCCCACTTAGGAACTAAAAAAAGCAATTCATCCACAATCCACCACCTATTCTCTTTTTTACAAATTCTGATTATTCATTGAAAATACACTTATGACAATCAATAAATTGTCAATATATAATGATCGACACATTAAAAACAATTTAAGGAGAGGAAAGAAAACAAATTGGGAGAAGTGTGTGAGATATCAAAAATTATGATCTTTGAAATATTGATTTGTATTTCTTCTTTTTTTTTTTATACAATAATGCTGTAACTTTTTTAAAAAGTAGGCATGTAAAACTAGGATTAGTCCACATGCCATGCACGACATTAATCATTTTTATTTATTTAGTTATATTTTTGTTCTTTGGGTACATTTTGGTAAACGGATAGCCAAAAATTAGATTTTTGGGACCAGTCCCACATGAATCAAGACAAAAGACTATGAGTAGTACATGAGCTTGTAATAACATGACTAATTCTATTTCATGAATGTTGTCCACCAATTGAACTTCATAAATATTTTCATTTCAATATTTAAAAAATTCAGGAGTGGTAAACTGGTAAGACCTTATTAAAAGATTGAACTTTGAAACCAAAAATGAGGCAACAAACACTCTCCCTAAAATTCAACATGCTCTATGCAAATTCATTCCCTTGCATCAGGGTAGTAATTTGCAAACAAAGGGACCAGAATATGGTGATTTGAGACCAAATAAACTTTTGAAGCTTTACAACAGGTGTAAGCTGTTTGAAAGTGTGAGCAGCTGATCACAACAACTAAAGCAAAAGCTATGCAAGAACAATGTGTAGTAGAATCAAGATAAAATGACTTCAGTGATGAAGATGATTAGTTGCTGTTTTCTTCTTGCTTTATTCTTGGATAGTCAGAATTCCTCAAAGATTGGTTACAGTGATAATGAAACTGAAGTTGACTGAAACTGTCATCTTCTTTTCTATAAGGAACCTTTTTCTCTTTTTCAAAATTTGCCATATCAGTTTTTTGGTACCATATGTGACTGATGCATACATTTGATATGTAGTCTCTGCAACACAAAGACACTATCCAGCAGGGTTTGCTTTTGCATGCTGATGGAAAGAAGCACATAGCTAAAGAGCCTAAAGCCTAAGCCTTAGTTGCAAAACAGCAGCCTAATCTGCCTAATCCACCTGAGAAAGGGTCTGTAACCAATAAAGACTCTACAGAAAACATTACCAAAACTAAAGATCCAAATGACAAAGTAGTGAGGATGGCAAAGAGAATGGTCTTTCAAATGGGGCCTCATGACATGATAATTCTTCAGCTGAAAATGGGAAGGTTTATGTGAAAAAGAGATGAGAAAAAAAAAACGGATACGTCCAATGACATTTGAGAAATGCGCAAATGGAGTACTGAATGTTTTGTTACTCAAGCATAAACAGAGGAAACACCTAAGTCAAAGAAAGCCAGAAAAGAATTGGAGGTTGAAGGTACAGAGAAGAAAAAACCCAAAATGAAGATGAGGAAGGTGAGAGAGGTACCAACGGTACTGCATAAGATGGTTCTGTTACTCAAGCAGTGACAGAAAACACCGAAGAAGTCAAAGAAAGCCAGGAAAGAATTGGAGGTCAAAATGAAGCAGAGGAAGGTGAGAGAGGTACCACGAAAAGAAGGTTATGAACAAACTTAGATATGTATCAATACGAAAAGAAGGTTATAAACAAAAATAAAGAAACAAATACAAAAGCTTTCCTTAGGGCTTAAATCATCAAAACAGATACCTTGATAATTATCATAATCGTTACTAAATTAATCAACTTTATCTGAAATATTAAGATTTGCCTCGATGAGCAAATCTAGATTATCAACTATATGTGTTACTACAGTTTCAATACAAAGGTACTCAAGATTTGTTGCTTTGATGCTAATACATGAAGGTGCATGTTCATATTGATTTGCATTGTCACGTATTTCTAATGTCTTTAACGCCAAAACTCCATGGAGAGTTTCACCCTAACCATTACATTCTTTGATAAAGAGCTCTTCGTTGAGTAGACAATCTCGAGTAAAGTGGATGATCTCAAGGCTTGGTAATTAAAAAGTATTTAGTGTATCGTCTATTTTAAAACCAAGTAATTTCAAAATCACTAGCCTCTTACACCAAATCGGCTCCAAAAACTTATAACTTTGACGCAAATTAAAAATCAAGTTAAGCTCAAAACAATCACGTTTCTTTGTAGCATACAATCATGACACGAAATTATTTGGATCATCATCGCAAAAGAATTCGTATCAAAAACAATATAAATAAGATGTATCGTTCTAAACTAGAACCTAGATCACAAAATTAGTGTACTCCCTCGGTGTTTGAATAAGTGTTACAGTTTGACCAAACACACATGCCGAAACACGACTTTGACCATTAATCTATCTAATTATATGTTAGTAAAACGATAGGAAAATTGATATTATGAAAGTATACATTATAACAAATCTAACAATGTATTATACAATAACATTGTTTTTTATATATTAGTAAATTAATTAAGTCAAAACCATTAAGTGAATAGTAAAAAAAGTCAAACCGTAACACTTTATAATACACGGAGGGGGTACTAAATCTTTATCTCATTGCTCGGTAGTGGTAACAATCCCGTCTAAGGATCAAGCTCTATTATGGCATCTCTTTTTTACAATACGCTGGTCTTAAAGGCAACACACTTTGTAGGTAAGAAAGAAAGTATATGACACATCATTGAGTCATGCAGATTAATAGTGTAATATAAGTTTTCAAGGGGATACTCATGCAATTCATGTTTTGAATTTTAATTACAATAATTGATCAAAGCTTGTCCGAGGTGAAAAGATGGCAATATATAGAATGCTTATGATTGAATACTAACAAGAACTAGGTTCTTATTCAGAACAATGCATCCTTTTTACGATGTTTCCGATACGAATTCTCTTGCGATGATGATCTAAATAACTTCGAGCCATGGTTGACGCAGCAAAAATACGTGAATTTTTTGAGCTTAACTTGAATTTTAATTTGTCAAAGTTACAAGCTTTTAGAGCTGGTTTATTGTAAAAGGCTAGTGATTTTGAACTTACTAGGTGTTAAAATAGACGATAAGCCAAAATACTTTTCTGGAGATCATCACCAAGTAGAAGAGCTAAATGATGACGAATATATGAAGAGGTTGTTATCACCCAACTTTCGAAGAACTTTTTATCAAATTATGTAATGGTTAAGATGAAACATTCTCACGAAGAGTTTAACGTTAAAGACATTAGAAATACGTGACACTACAAATCAATACAAACATGCACCTTCTTGTATTAGCATCAAAGTGAGTGCAATAACGCATCTTACAGTTGATAATCTAGATTTGCTCACTGAGGCAAATCTTACTATTCAGATTAAGTTGATGATGCTAGTAACGATCATGATAATTATCAAGGTATTTGTTATCTTATAAACAAGGTTTCCGGGGTATGTACTTCACGGCCTATAACTAAGGTAAGTTTATACTCCTTATAACAATTTTCCATACATATTGGCTTAATTTTTGCGGATTTGACAGCAAAATGTTTATCACGATGCAATCTATTTATTATGAGAAAGAGCTACCAACCTTTAAAAACTTGACTCACTTAAGAGGTAAGGGGGATGCTTAAACTTATAAGCTACTAAAACTAGCTCCCAAGTCAAAATCTTTGATAATCTAGCAAGTATGTACACAGTAATTCTTTGGTTTTTTTGCCGTTTTAAAATATTTAAATTGGAAACTAATTGTGTCAAAAAAAGTTGTGTTTGTTTAAAAGATTGAATGGGTTGATGACTCCTTTAATTCTAAAGCCAAAGGTGAATGAAGCTGATTTCCTCAGTGCTTAAATCTGTGAGTGTCAGTATGCTTTCTTATTGAATTATTAAATAAAGATGTCTATATTGTGTATGGTTCATAACTGAAAAACAAATGAAGTGGTATTTTGGATCAGTTATTTTAAACTTTTTTCATAGCCACAGTCATTAAAAATACAGTCATGTAGAGAACTAAAGAACAATATCAGGCTAATAAAGCTTCAGTCCAACACTCGAGAAGTTTGTGAGCTATTCAAAACCAGACTTCAATAACCAGTAATTTATGATAAAGAATACGAAAAGCTGAAGAAGACAGACCAACTAAATAATTAAGCTACATAAAGCATGAGCACAAATTAGTCTTACAAAGTATGCAAATAACTAGAACAAACATGGAGCAGCATAATAACAATCTCAAGAACATACATAATAAACGAACATGGAACAACAAGATACAAAGCTAGATAGAATCCCATACCCCTCTTAAGGTACGGCAGTAATCTCCTTGTCCTCCACATCGGTGGCAGCCACACTAATCTCAGAAGAAAGGCCATTAGCAGCATCTTCTGTAGGAGGCTGAGCTTGCTCCTCCTCAGGCAATGGCTCCTCAACATAATCATTCTCGAAAGCATCAGCAGGCACCTCATAAATCCTAACCTGGGGCTTCGAGGGATCCTTAACAAGCACATACTTGCCCTCATTCAGCTTCATACACAAATCAACAATACTCTTAACAATTCCCCACATATTAGCCATGTTCAAATTAATCTGAGACGCGAAATCCCTAGGCTTATATCCAACAACACCGAGAATCACATGGTTAAAATGATCCCTGGGATGAACCCTCGAAACATACCCCAACTTCATCATATCAGCACCACCCAAAAGCGCCTGAGCAGTCCACTTAGCCATCTTATTAGAATTGTTCTTCAATTCAGTAGCCAAAACAGCACCTCTTTGAGTCTCCAATTTCTGCCTCCAATCAACCCCAGAATACTTAGGATCAAATTCATTCAAAGCATTCAGTGTCAAAAACTGCCTTTGATTATTACTCTCAAGCACACTCTGTAGCTCACACCTAGCAACCAAATACATATCATTATCAAGCTTCCACCTTCTATACCTATACCCAGCAGAAGCCACCTCTTCTCCCTCATTCGCAAACGGGTTCGGCTCCTCAAAGCTCACCTTCTTCCCCTCTTTAACCAAAACCTGCTGAGAGAAATTCTGGTTAATGTAAGCAGCCTCAACACTCAAAGAATGAGCGGAATTGATATCATCTTTCGACTCCGGTAACGGTTCCTGCGAAGTCTCATGAACAGACAACAAATCCAACTGAGACCCATCTCTCTTATCAAAGAACAGCTTATTCCCAACCCTCTGAACCACAATATCCCAACTGTAAACACTCCTCGGCGAGCACATAAGCGTCGACAATATCGCATCAGTAGCGAAAACAGTAGCCTTATCCTCATTAGCCAACCTCCTAATCACAGGATCATCAGTAGTTGTAACCTTGAAGAAGTTCCGATTCTTAAACCTCTCCAACCTACGCTCATTTTTCGGGGTAAGGCGGTCATACGTTCGATCATAAGACTCAAGCGCCCCGCAAAACAGAAGATCTTCTGGCTCAGGAACAGAGAAGGACAACTTGGAAAAAGTAGAGAAAGGAATCTGCTCAAGCATATTCCACTCAGGCTGAATTTCAACTGATGACTTAAACACCGCGGCTTCGCGGCGTTGATGCTGTCCACCACCAATGCGATGGTTATTATGGTAAAGCCGATCACGGCGAGCACGCTCCTTCTCAGCCTCACGTTTACGAGCTTCGACTTCTTCGTCTCGGCGTTGAGGGAGATGGCGAGACGGGTTGTTATGGTGGTGATGGAAGCGCCATTTAGGGCCGAATTTAGGGCGAGGAGGGGGTTTACCGTCGACAAGGCGGAAGGAGGAGTCTTCATCGGCGGCGAGTGTGGCGGCGAAGGAATCATCGCCGGTGAAATCGAAAACGGAGTCGTTGGCGTTGTTGCGACGGTTGGAGGGGTTGTTGAGGTTGCGAGTCCAATCGGCAATTCGGCCGAGTTTATCGGAGCGAGAAAAGGGGGCGAAAGGAACGTTGCTGGGGACGGTGGTGGTAGATGGGGTTGCGGCGGCGGCGGCGGTGGTGGTGGTGGTTTCTGGTGGGCCCCAGCCATCTGGGTTGAAGGGGACGAAGCCGACTTCGAAGGACACCATTGTTGTGTTTGTTGTTGGGAAGATGGGGAGAGAGAGAGAGTGGAGAAGAGGAGGTACAAAAATAGGAGAGAGAAAAACCCTAGAATTGTTTATCAACTTTGGTTCTCCTTTACTAGGGAGATTGGAAGTCCTAACCGAACCGGGAAACCGACCCAATTGGTTTACGAGTAGAGGTGTCAATTCATGTTTTTGGATCGGATTTAGTAATGTCGGGTTGAATTAGGTGTATTTTTAAATTTGAGTCATACTAAATTAATTTTTTTCCCGGATCGGTTGGATAGGTTTTTAACACCTCAACTTAATTCAAAACTCGTACTTTGTAGTATGTTGATTAGATCTAGGAATGGCAAAAGATTAGATGGAGCTTCACGTGCATTTATCCGCTCCTTCTGATTACCCGCCTAACCCATCACCCATATTTGATTAATCTATGATCCTTAAGTTGAGTTTAGCGGGTGATAATTATGATTTCATATTTTACGAATACATCAAATTATATATTGTTGGAAATAATAATACAAGGAAAATGGAATATATAAAGTGGAAAAATATTCTGAAAACTTAGTTAGGTAAGTTGTAGATTACCTTCAGCTCTTCTCAAGACAATTCATGCCCTCTAATAAAAGTCGCGTGAACTTTAAGATGAAAGGTTTCAGAACAATCCCGAGTGTTAATGGCGCGTCGTCCCCTAGGATAAAACCCTAACTTATACACTCTTTAATCTTAGAGCAAGATTAGCCCTGAGTCTTAAGACTCTAGGTGACATCATCAATTTCTGATTTTGTGGTCTTAAGACAAGACTTTATACATTTGTGTGGCTTGGTCTTAACCAAATCTCAAGTGGAGTCAATTCAAGACTCAACTTAATAACACTGTGTTTTTATCTATATACACATAAAAACACAGTGTTTTGATTAAAAAAAATTAATTAACTTTTTTATTTTTTAAAAATAATATTTATTTGATTTATATAAAAAAAAATTGTAAATATACATTGTATTTTTTTTTTTTGGAAATAAAGTGTATAGATGCATCCAGCTGCAGCAAGACTCACAAGAAAAACTTGAAGAGCATCCATACCCATCCTTGGATTGTGGACCTTCATTTTACTATGTATCAACAATTTTAATAATATATATATATATAAAAAAATAGTTTTAAAAAGTCAAGTAAGCAAATTAAATGGATAACCAATGAAACAAGTGATATTATCTTAATTATGTGTGTATCATAGTATATGTGCTCATAAAATTATTTTTAATTTCAAAATTTTAAACAAAAAGATCTAATCTTACGTTGTTTAGATGGTTGTCAGTGATAGAGATAAATATTATTCAAGTTATCCTATTTGTTTTTTGTTATTGTTGTATTTTGATATGTACCTAGTCATAAGATAAAGAGCCTATGTATGTATTATAAAACCTAGATATCCTATTGAAATTATCATCAATTATTTAACTCCTATAAACTAAGGCTAAACTAAATAAAAAAATATATATAAGCTATGTAATATCATAGCTTTCTTCTAAATATGGATCATATTCAAAACTTTGATTTGAACTCTTTTCTAATTTGATTCAAAACACCCGAACTCATAATCAAGTCTCAATTGCAAAATTTCGTCAACTTTCTCCAAGCTCCATCTCAACCCCAATCTACTACAAATATGATACCAAATGCCATGGAGTTTAATAATTATTCATCTCAACTTCCTGAATTTTCTACCCAACAAGGGTTGGAAAATATTGAGGTACAAACTCCTCCTACGAGTACTCAAATTCGAAAAAGAAAATCGACTTCATGGACGATTAAAGATGATTGTCTCCTTGCTTTCGCATGGCTACAAAGTAGTAAAAATAAATCACCGATAATTCTCAAAATTCGGATGATTATTGTTTTGGGGTTTTCTGATGTCCTGCGGGAGAGTTACAATTCCGAGACTGGAACCGGACGCCTGTACCTGCAAAACAACGGAGACTCCTGGTGGTGGGAGCTCCGCCTCCAACGGTCAAGTTAGTACTTGATTAAGGAGTAATTAATGCGGAAATTAAAGTGATTGGGTCTCTCTAGGTGAGAGTGTTTAATGTAGGTAATCTGCTTTTTTAGCGTGATCAACCTGTTATTCATGTAATCTCCCTTAATGAGGATTAAGGGAGGTATTTATAACCTTGGGAAACGTGCTAATCCTAGGTTTAGGTTAACCTAGGGCTGATTGGGCTTCCCTCGGAAGTTGGGCCTGGGTGGCCGGTTTCTCCATTAGGCATGGAGTATGCCACGTGTCATGACATAATAGGTCCAAGGTGGACAAATAAGCGGGTGCCACGTGGCAAGCCCTGACAGTTCCAACTGAGGGACACTTGGCAGGACCTGATTGGCCCACGTGGCGCATTCCGATTGGTGGGAGCAAAATCCCCTAATCATTTGCCCCTCACAGGTGGCACGTGACTGGTCACGTGTTACCTGTGACAGGTGTCGCACTGTAACAGGCGACGGCCTGCTACAGGTGTCACTCGGCGAAAGGCCGAGAGATTCTCCCGCCCAAATTATGAATTCTGGAAGTGACCCTTCGCCTTCTCACTTCGCCTATATATAAGGGAGTGTTGACTTCAATCATTCACACTTGAGAACTTTGTGAGAGAACATTCGGACCCCTTAACTTGCTCTGACATTTTGGACTCTTTCTGCCTACCGCCTGCTCTGACAAGTCGACTGCAAAGGATTTTCAGAACTTCATCAACCGTCACTCGTTCAGGTAACCGTCAGTTCTCTTACTCTTAATTTTCTCTTTATTCTTTTTTGAAATGGCACCACGGAAGCACACGACACGACCTAGGTTAGTGATCAGCCGGTCACCGGGGACGGCTGAATCTAGGACTAGGAGTGCCGCCTGCCCTTTTCTGGACCCATCTTTGCCCTTTATACAAAGTCCGACTGTATCTGTGTCTATGCAGAGCATGATGGCCAGAACAAAAAAGACTGCCAGGATCTCAAATTCAGACGGCTCCTCCCACAGGGTGCCGATTAGTGAAACATCTGACCAGGCGCCAGATGCGGAAGTGAAACAAAGCGGCTTGAAAGCCGGCAGTTCTGAGGGAGGAGTCAAAGTGACCCCTTCCCTTTTTACAGTTGACAATTCTTCATTCTCTTCTGCTCCTTTTAAAGGAGAGGAGGCGGGCCCCTCCGGGAGAGGGGAGGAGTCGTCCTCTTCGGACTCGTCAGAGGACGATTCCGAGTCTAGCTCTTCTGGCCATGCTTCTTTGGACACAGAAGAGAAAAACAGTCGCCTGCAAGAGGCGAGGCTTTCTCACGCAGTTGAGAAGGGGGACGATTGGGCGGAGCCATCCGCCTCTTACCGAGAGCAAAATACCCCCTACTACTGCACGGTACCTCGGGGCCGGATCACGGCCATGCAAGAGAAAGTGGAGAGCTTTATCGCAAACCACATAATGGGCCCTGGCTTTTTAGTGTTTGTGCCGGATCCAGAAGATACAGTCGTCTGGCCGGCTGGTACCAGTTATGATAGCGCCTGCTTTGGCTGCTACGAGGCGGCCATCAAGGCTGGGCTGCGCTTCCCACTACATCCGGCTGTTCAGCGGATCTTGGATGGGTATGAGTTGGGGTTATGGAAGTTAGCCCCAAACTCCTGGGTCAATGTACTCGGCTATGTGGCCGGGTGCGAACTGCACGGGGTGGAGCCGAGCTTCGAGGCTTTCGCCCACATGAACTACCTCAGCCGGACCCCTAAGGCAGGCGGTACCGGCTGGTATCAATTGACGAGCCACAGGGGCTACCTCATGACGAGAGGTAAAGCAAACAAATGGAAGGACTGGCGGAGCACCTTCCTCATCATTGAGAGTTCAGACACAGAGCTGAACAAGCGCTTCAACAGGTGGAACAGGAATCCGCCCCTTCTTGCAGGCGGCCGCAGCATGCCGCCTGTTCCCCCCAAGGCTAAGAAAGAGATCCTAGATAAAGGACTCTTCAAAGTAGAGTCGAAGGTGAACTCTACTTCAGGGGTACGAGAGCAAGTACCCCTGCACTGCGTCCCGAGCTTTAAATGGCTCTACGACGAGTACTTTTTGGCCGCCTGTGGCCTCAGCAGTCGGTGCTCCAGAGGTAGCCGGCCTGTCGAATACTCTGTTGTTCCATGCATTTCTTGTTATGACTTTTATTAACTTTGCTATTTGTTTTTGCAGCGGACGCCATGAGCAAAATTACCGCCTCCAAGACTGCGGCGGCCATGTTGCGGGCCTCCATCATGCAACAAGCTTCAACCGAATCCCCCAACAAGGGGGCACCCTTGGTGGGCTTCGAACCTTTCACCCTCTTTTTGGAGTTGTTTATGCATATACTGACTTCTTGTTTTTTAGACGGGCGCTCCAAGAGCTTTTTCTTCCCAACAGCCAGACCCCAAGGCCCGGAGGACGACTGTTGCGAGCTCTCCTGGTTCTGCCAGGAAACATGCGGCGGCTGAGAAACAGCCGGCCACTTCTTCTAAAACTCCAGCTGGGCCGCCTAGAAGTATGAAGTTGTCCTTGTAAATTTTAGACTTGCTCCCTTTTTTACTAGGTCTAATCCGTTTGTTTATGCTTGATGCAGCCGGCCCTCAGGGGCCTGACTTGGTCGAGGTGGCCAAGTCTATGATCAAGGTCGTTCCTCCAGCTGAAAGGGAGGCGGTCAGGGGTGTCGGCACCCTTGACCTAGACGGGATTGCAGGGGTCCTTGCTGAGGTATACTTAGCATATTTTTGAGTATTTGAATTCCAGGACGCCTGTTTTCTTTTTTGTTTGGAAACTGACGCCTGTTCCCCTTTTTACTTAGGCCCTGCTCCGAGTGAACGGCCTTCGCAAGCCGCTATGGCCGCCTCTGACTGTGATAAGGCAATGTTTCAAATTGCCCAAAATGAAGTTCTGACCATTGATATTCTTTATTATCAGGCGCAGGCTACCGCCGCTATCCGGGCTCAGTTAGAGGCGGCCCAGAAGAGGAATAACGAGCTGGAGGCGACCATCAACAATCTCAAGGCCGAGCTGAGACCTCTTCGCCAAAAGATGTCCTCATACGAAACCTTGGAGAAATCCTT